TAATGGTGATCCAAATTCGTTTCAACAACAAGGTGTTGACAGTTGTGGATTTGTATGCATTCAATGTGTGTTGCGCATCGTTATTGACTGTCGAGTGTGTATGCAAGTCAAGTCACCACCAATCACTAACCAACAACCACATCCAGTGCGTACATGATCATTACTAGAATGACTGCCAAACATATTCGCATCCAAAAGTTGATTGTGAGTTGGTGGTTTGCAAGAGTCGGACACAACTGACATGCTATTGAACACAGCAACATGATTATAGTCCAGTCGTATGGTGTGATACAGTGGTTCGTGAAACACAATATCCGGATATTTGTAGTGTTGAACACGACGAATCTATTGTTTGTGTAGCATCACAACGATTGTAATTTGGAATCAAAGTGTTGTGACCACGAATACTGTGTATATCATATTTAGCTACATTAAAGCTTGTTCCGTATTATTCCGTATTGTTTCATATTGTTCCACATTGTTTGATGCATTGTTCCATTTATTGTGCAAGTACACCAGATGCCAACTGGAGTGATTGATCAGAGTTGGCAAATATCACGATATTGTCGGCATACATGAGTCCTCACACTGATGATTTGCACAATACTCATGCAATGACAATCGGTTGATACCATTGCGCATGTCATTGATGAACACGTTGAACAACAATCTGACAATGGACATCACAGCCGGGCTCGACGTTCAATTGTAAATGTGTCGGAAACCAATGGTTCAGCCTGAGCACGAGCTGATGAGCATGTGTGCAGCGGTGTTAGCAAGACCAGTGTGCGTGGTGCTAACCACATGTGTTGCAGTTACCATATCAAGGTACCAATCGTGACAGTGTCGAATGCATTTTGAATGTCAATCAACACAACAATAGTATTGAACTGCACGCACAACCGTTGTTGAACGATATCGACTAGTGAACCAACTTACACAACACACTTGTTTGGTTTGAAATCGACCATGCTCGGTGGTGACGAGTTTGTTGAGCACCACGATCCATCAATGTGTGTTTGCAAGACCTTGCATACCAGTTTGAGATACACATCAATCAGCGTAATACCGTGGCTGTCATTTGTATCAATGTGATCACTGTCATTTTTATGAATGGATACAATGAGTGCAAACTGCGAGTTCAAGTACAATTGATGGGGTTTTGTTTGGTGATGTTTTGCAAATATCAGTAGATTGTATATTGGTTTGAATGACATGATCATATATCGATCGTGTTGCCTGACTACAGTGACACTATGGTTTGTTGACACGACCAGTTTGCAAAACGATCTGCTGCTGTTGCTGTTGCTGATGTTGATCGGATATCGGACAGTGTCACATTTGGTCTTGTTGTGACAAGGTTCGATCACTCGACATATAGTCTGTATACTAACCTGAACCAATCGTGCAGTTGTACAACAGATAGTTCATGGGTTCAAAATGTTGCCATGACAGCCTGATTGATGCTGTGTGCATGGTTTGAACACATACTAATATTGAGTCGCTGAAATATAAATACCTGTGTTGATTCGTGTTGTATTCAGTTGTAAACACCAATTCAGACCAAACACGTGATGTAGTGATTGCGCACCGGAAAAAATAATCTTGCCTGAAATCGCTCAATACAAGAAGGCGTGAACACAAATAACTACCGTGCTGTTACACAGAATACAAGACTGACCCTAATATCAATGCTCAAATACTCAAATGATCAAGTATATAAACCGCCAGTTAATTATCAAATATAGAGACAGCAATTGATCAGCTTTTCATCACTTTAACTAAACTATCAACTATATTAACATATTTGGAATCGCTCAAAATGAAAAGCGGTACTTTTGCACTTATATCGATACTGGCTATTTCGGCTCATGCCGAGCTTGTTTCGACCAACACTATTATTGACAATGACTTTCGACTTCAAAAACGACAAGTTCGAAAACTCGTAAGCTTTTTTAATAACAAACCAGGTGGCAGTGGTACGAAGCCAAGTTTTCCAAAGAAAGGGCCTGTTAACGGCCCTATAAAATCTGTCAAGAGTACTCCTAATGGACCAGTTTCAATTGGTACCAAGGCCGGAACGTCTGGAAAAAAACCACCTATAGCGCCTAAACCATCACTCGGACCAGGTAATAAATCACCAACACCTCAATCAAACGGGACACCACAACAAAAACCACCTATAGCGCCTAAACCATCACTCGGACCAGGTAATAAATCACCAACACCTCAATCAAACGGGACACCACAACAAAAACCACCTATAGCGCCTAAACCATCACTCGGACCAGGTAATAAATCACCAACACCTCAATCAAACGGGACACCACAACAAAAACCACCTATAGCGCCTAAACCATCACTCGGACCAGGTAATAAATCACCAACACCTCAATCAAATGGAACACCACCACAAAAACCACCTATAGCGCCTAAACCTCAATGGATTTAAGAATGATGGTCCTCCTTCATTTATACCACCACCACCAACACGAAATTCATAGAAATCTTAAAACGGACTTTAAAATGATGATCATCCTCCATTTAAACCATCACCTAAAAATGAAATTGATTACAAGTAATTATAACTCTGCACTCGCACAGCAAATGCACAGTGTATTGCTCAATCCATTGTTTTCAAACCCTTTTGGATTCATAACACATTGAATAATGCATACATTTAATAAACTTGGTGTTGCTGATCAAAATATTGGTGTGTTTACAACTGAATACAACACGAATCAACACAGGTATTTATATTTCAGCGACTCAATATTAGTATGTGTTCAAACCATGCACACAGCATCAATCAGGCTGTCATGGCAACATTTTGAACCCATGAACTATCTGTTGTACAACTGCACGATTGGTTCAGGTTAGTATACAGACTGTATGTCGAGTGATCGAACCTTGTCACAACAAGACCAAATGTGACACTGTCCGATATCCGATCAACATCAGCAACAGCAACAGCAGCAGATCGTTTTGCAAACTGGTCGTGTCAACAAACCATAGTGTCACTGTAGTCAGGCAACACGATCGATATATGATCATGTCATTCAAACCAATATACAATCTACTGATATTTGCAAAACATCACCAAACAAAACCCCATCAATTGTACTTGAACTCGCAGTTTGCACTCATTGTATCCATTCATAAAAATGACAGTGATCACATTGATACAAATGACAGCCACGGTATTACGCTGATTGATGTGTATCTCAAACTGGTATGCAAGGTCTTGCAAACACACATTGATGGATCGTGGTGCTCAACAAACTCGTCACCACCGAGCATGGTCGATTTCAAACCAAACAAGTGTGTTGTGTAAGTTGGTTCACTAGTCGATATCGTTCAACAACGGTTGTGCGTGCAGTTCAATACTATTGTTGTGTTGATTGACATTCAAAATGCATTCGACACTGTCACGATTGGTACCTTGATATGGTAACTGCAACACATGTGGTTAGCACCACGCACACTGGTCTTGCTAACACCGCTGCACACATGCTCATCAGCTCGTGCTCAGGCTGAACCATTGGTTTCCGACACATTTACAATTGAACGTCGAGCCCGGCTGTGATGTCCATTGTCAGATTGTTGTTCAACGTGTTCATCAATGACATGCGCAATGGTATCAACCGATTGTCATTGCATGAGTATTGTGCAAATCATCAGTGTGAGGACTCATGTATGCCGACAATATCGTGATATTTGCCAACTCTGATCAATCACTCCAGTTGGCATCTGGTGTACTTGCACAATAAATGGAACAATGCATCAAACAATGTGGAACAATATGAAACAATACGGAATAATACGGAACAAGCTTTAATGTAGCTAAATATGATATACACAGTATTCGTGGTCACAACACTTTGATTCCAAATTACAATCGTTGTGATGCTACACAAACAATAGATTCGTCGTGTTCAACACTACAAATATCCGGATATTGTGTTTCACGAACCACTGTATCACACCATACGACTGGACTATAATCATGTTGCTGTGTTCAATAGCATGTCAGTTGTGTCCGACTCTTGCAAACCACCAACTCACAATCAACTTTTGGATGCGAATATGTTTGGCAGTCATTCTAGTAATGATCATGTACGCACTGGATGTGGTTGTTGGTTAGTGATTGGTGGTGACTTGACTTGCATACACACTCGACAGTCAATAACGATGCGCAACACACATTGAATGCATACAAATCCACAACTGTCAACACCTTGTTGTTGAAACGAATTTGGATCACCATCAGTTTGCTCACTTGTTGCACCGATATGACTGCATGATCAACTGGACACCAACCAAACCACACTCAAATGCATATGTTCCAGTCATGTGTATGGTGTATCGATTGTCAACTCACAATGTCAACTCCAACACATTCCATCATGATCATGGTCACATCACACCATGCCGATGTATGTCGATCGATATCACATTGCAAATGGCTGTCATCCAATGACTGTGATGACTGCAATGCAATACCATACATGTATTGTGACTGATACGCTGTACACCATCAGCAAGTGTGCAACTGTCACTTGATATATCGACTCTGATACACAACAACATGTTGGGTTTATCGTGATCAGGTTTTTGATCAACTTTGGACTCATGATACATGATTTGTCATGTTGAATCGTGTGGATGTGTGGATCGTATGGATCGTATGAATGTGTCATGGACTGCAATTGATGCTATACGCTGCAATTTAGTTGCAAACACATATATGTTTGACATTGACCAATGCATACTGTGCAACGACTGATCGGTGCGAATGTGATTGCACACTTGGTGGTATTGTGCATTATGGTTGTTTGACAATGGATGAATGCTGGATTAGTCGGTCATATGCAACCTGTTTGAATCGACATATTTTGATGATCACTCGATGTAACTGACAATAATGTGTTGTCAGTCATGTTGTGTCGATACTTGAGTTGAAGTGACCAATCACAGAATACTGGCTGTTTGATTGGTCAATTAGTCGAGTTTGTGCTGATATCGTACCATTGGTAACAAACACAGTTCTGGTACCGTCACCTGTACTGCCATATAGCAGTTGATTGACAAACTTGTAACACTTCCAGTATATGCTCGTACGGATATGATTTGTTTGCATGATATCAGTTTGTCTTGACACTCGAGTTTATTTTAAATACATTCATTCAAAAAGCGCATTTGCTACTAAAATGGTGTCAAATTACTGTCAGTTCAAGTACAATTGATGGGGTTTTGTTTGGTGATGTTTTGCAAATATCAGTAGATTGTATATTGGTTTGAATGACATGATCATATATCGATCGTGTTGCCTGACTACAGTGACACTATGGTTTGTTGACACGACCAGTTTGCAAAACGATCTGCTGCTGTTGCTGTTGCTGATGTTGATCGGATATCGGACAGTGTCACATTTGGTCTTGTTGTGACAAGGTTCGATCACTCGACATACAGTCTGTATACTAACCTGAACCAATCGTGCAGTTGTACAACAGATAGTTCATGGGTTCAAAATGTTGCCATGACAGCCTGATTGATGCTGTGTGCATGGTTTGAACACATACTAATATTGAGTCGCTGAAATATAAATATCTGTGTTGATTCGTGTTGTATTCAGTTGTAAACACACCAATATTTTGATCAGCAACACCAAGTTTATTAAATGTATGCATTATTCAATGTGTTATGAATCCAAAAGGGTTTGAAAACAATGGATTGAGCAATACACTGTGCATTTGCTGTGCGAGTGCAGAGTTGTAATTACTTGTAATCAATTTCATTTTTAGGTGGTGGTTTAAATGGAGGATGATCATCATTTTAAAGTCCGTTTTAAGATTTCTATGAATTTCGTGTTGGTGGTGGTGGTATAAATGAAGGAGGACCATCATCTTCAAATTTGCTCTGAGGTTTTGGTGGATTTTTTCTTGGTTTTGGTATAGGTGGTTTAGGTTTAGGCGCTACAGGTGGTGGTGATTTGTTTTGTGGTGGTGGTCTATTGTGTGGTGGTCTAGGTGGTGGTGGTCTATTATGTGGTGGTCTAGGTGGTGGTAATTGAGATGGTGATTTAGGCAATGGTCCAGTTGCTCCTGATGAGCTAAGTGGAGGTGGCCTATCAGGAGTATTCTTGACAAAATTAGTAGGGTTGCCAATAACAGGTCTTTCTGGGTTTTTCTTAGGGCGACCAGGGAATTTAGGCCCTTTCTTTGGAAGACTTGGCTTGATACCACTGCCACCTGGCTTGATACCACCGTTACCTGGCTTTTTATTAAAAAAACCCTTGACTTTGCCAAAAAGCTGTCGTTTTTGAAGTCGAAAGTCATTGTCAATAATAGTGTTGGTCGAAACAAGCTCGGCATGAGCCGAAATAGCCAGTATCGATATAAGTGTAAAAGTACCGCTTTTCATTTTGAGCGATTCCAAATATGTTAATATAGTTGATAGTTTAGTTAAAGTGATGAAAAGCTGATCAATTGCTGTCTCTATATTTGATAATTAACTGGCGGTTTATATACTTGATCATTTGAGTATTTGAGCATTGATATTAGGGTCAGTCTTGTATTCTGTGTAACCACGGTAGTTATTTGTGTTCACGCCTTCTTGTATTGAGCGATTTCAGGCAAGATTATTTTTTCCGGTGCGCAATCACTACATCACGTGTTTGGTCTGAATTGGTGTTTACAACTGAATACAACACGAATCAACACAGGTATTTATATTTCAACGACTCAATATTAGTATGTGTTCAAACCATGCACACAGCATCAATCAGGCTGTCATGGCAACATTTTGAACCTATGAACTATCTGTTGTACAACTGCACGATTGGTTCAGGTTAGTATACAGACTATATGTCGAATGATCAAACCTTGTCACAACAAGACCAAATGTGACACTGTCCGATATCCGATCAACATCAGCAACAGCAACAGCAGCAGATCGTTTTGCAAACTGGTCGTGTCAACAAACCATAGTGTCACTGCAGTCAGGCAACACGATCGATATATGATCATGTCATTCAAACCAATATACAATATACAATCTACTGATATTTGCAAAACATCATCAAACAAGAACCAACTTTGATCACACAAGAAAGTGGTTGAATGACTTTTATGCAAGTATTGCTTGAACACATGATGCACACTGATTTATACTGACGGTTTCTGAGAATTTTCGATTATTTTGGGATTCTCACTCTTTTGTTGCTAGCCGTGAAATGATTCTACAACGTAATACTACTTCAAGACTTTATTGTATTAAAATTAGAATCATACAGATCAATTTTGTCATTACAGACCAAATTCAAGTTGTACTCAAGCCAAGATTGCAGTTGAATGAATTTCAAAAACGTTAATTGTAATACACATTCAATAATGAATTCAAAGATTACTGTCAAGCCAGTAAAATAGTTTAAACCAAATCTAATCACTGATTCAATTGCTAGTCGATTACAAGTTGAAATTTGTACAAATCAAATACAAAATCAAACTGAATGGTGTGTGCTGTCAATTCAACGTGTTTTAAACTGGTCAATTGAATTTAGCAGTTTATCTAATGAAATTATTGAATTGAATCTTAGTTTCAAGTTGATACCAACATGCTCTTTACTGGACCTATAGGTAAAAACATTTGTATAACTACCAATTCTACACTTGAAATCAGTGAATATTCAAGACTTGATACACACTTTTATGCAGCATTCACTCATGAATACAATTAAACCTTCTCGTTTGTATAATGCCAGACACTAACATCTGAATTATTACAATCTGTTCATCTAGGTTTTTGTAAGTGTTGTCTGTTACATTGACCAACACATCCATTGTACGACTAATTTCATACAGTTCAATTCTGGATCTAATACATCAAATCCAAATACTATGAACATGACATTTTATGAATAGCACATGCACCATTCTCGAAAGCAGTATTTGTAATCATTGGTGTCAACAGTCTTGTTGCGTCTATTGCAAATGCCAAGAGCAGGCTTCATTTACAACTGTTTCCGCATTTGATTCCACAATGTCAGGTCAGTAGGTTGACTTTATAGTTATCACGGAGTTGTATGTCTAATCCAGTGTAATGCCTCTGCCATGAACGCTAGCTTTGGAGACTTGTTTCTAGCCATTTCGGTAATCAGTAACTGTGCAGACTTGTACTGGTTAATGGATTCATAATCATATGCTTACTTCACGTTTCAATCCCATTCGTTTAGTACTATCTTCATCAGCAGAAGTCCTGTTTGGATCTATACTAATCTATCAATTTCGGCTTTTGGAGCGACAATGGGGATCAGCAAAGTTTGCTGCCTTTTTCACGCTCTCGTCGCTGATTTCAACGTGTACAAGTCTTGCGTTTCTTGTCTTGTTCCGTCCATCTGTAGATCGCATTGCTTTGGGACCATTTGGGTTTATTGCAGCTTCAACTGTATTGTACTCGGTACAAGTACCAGCTTCATACTACTTTAAATTGTTTGGTATTGGCTGGAGCGATCATTCTTTTATCTATATTCTTGCTATGCAGGTAAGCCGAGCTAATCCATCTTGTGATATAGTATTTTAAATCAATCGCTGATATTTAAACATTACAATGTTTGTATTGATGCTAATCTTGACGGCTGTAGCTGGCTTTTATTTCATCTCCTTTGTCGATTTTCGCTTGGGTTGGTGGAATAATAGCAGGAGGAATCTATACAACAAATACTGGAAATATCAAACAATGGCGGTTTCCAACATGGATACGATCTATAGTGTCCTCTTATATTTTACCACTTTTAGAATCTTCCCATGGCGATTCCTCAAATGATGGATCTAATCCACTTTCTACAGCTACTACACCAGCAGATCAACGGCGTGCTCAGCTGCAACGCACAGTACAACAGCAAATGCAAGTTGCTAGCATGATGGCCGGAATGGCGCCAAGACAAGGCAATACTCCAGCAGACACAACTGCTGGTGAATCTCCAACAACTGCTCAGACAATTCCAGTTCCAGGTGGTCCAACAGGTTCTACCTCTACACTTTCTTCCCACAATGCTTCTGAAGTCATTGCAGATCCTCATCTTGTAGAAACTCTCACTGGAATGGGATTCGAGCGCGAGGCTTCCATCGCAGTACTTGTTCAAGCTCGCAACAACCTTGACACTGCCATTGTGATGTTGGTGGAACATACTTGATGGCTTTAAAGTGTCATTACACGTGAGATAACACCATCTACATTATAAAAACAATCAACAGGCTACTGATGTTTTAAAGTACTTGATTTTTTGATAAACATGGTTGTAATCTGCAGTTGTCAAGCAAACTCGGAAAAATCAATAAAGATGAGTGGATACATCACGTAATTGTAGACGACTTTAATTAAAAATGTTACGCAAGTATACCAATGGTATTGCTGCAACAACTACAATAACATGACAAGACTTGCGAATTCATAGAAATGCCTATAACATAGTTTAATAATGTTGGTATTTTGTAATGATAGACTGGGTTACCAGCCATTAAAATTAGAAAAGCCACTGGTTTTGGATTGTTTCTTTGGTGGAATAACAAGCGACTCTGATTCTTGAGTATTGAGTGAAGAATCCAATTTACGCTTTCCAAGTGCAGCATCAAGATACTTTCCAACCTTGTCTGTCGAAGACGCTACTGCAGAGGCAGCCAAGTATAGTTTATCCTTTCGAGCTTTCTATAGATTTCAAAATAGTTTTAAACACATGTATACAGTCAGAGCTCATCCATCAAAAGAAACGATCAGATGCATACAAATAATATACCTCCATGACTCGCTGAGCAGAATTGGCAGCCTTTATCGCATCTTTGGATGCGATATCGTTTAAAATCTCCGCATAAGGATCTTTGGTAACAGTAATTGCTAAAATTTTAATTTCTTTGACAGGTCGGTTGTCCTCGTCAGTTGAAACTGCCTCCAGCTTGGTCAGCACATCCATGCCATCAACAATTTTTCCAAAAATCGTGTGCTTGTTGTCCAAATGCTTGCAAGGTCCAAAGGTAAAAAAACTAGTACAAGGAACAGAAAAAGTTATAGTTGAATAAAAACGACTCGTCCGTGTCAAATAGATTAAACTCATTCAAGATATGCTTACAATTGCGAAGTATTGGTATGTTTACCACGATTGGCCATGGAAAGTAACCCACGCGACGAGTGAGTTAGATTAGGCTTGAATTCATCTGGAAATGGAGATCCCCAGACAGATTCTCCACCTTTTCCAGTTCCAGTTGGATCACCACCCTGAATCATAAATTTTGGAATGGATCGGTGAAAAATCGTACCATTATAGTATCCTATATATTAAATCAGAAAAGTATCAATAAAACTGTCTTGTTTAACCAATCAATACATTGATACATGCAACTTGCCCTCTTTTGCATGCTTTATAAAATTAAAACACGACCGTGGAGCATCAAAACAAAGCAGCTCAATATGAATATCGCCGTAGTTGGTTTGTAGAGTAGCAGCACCCTTTTGTTTAACACGAGTAATAGCAACTTCATCATCCGTCCATACAGCAGATTCATTTACAGAGACGGGTGTGAATGACATTGATGTGAGTGAGGATGATGCCAATCCTCTAGAAAAAGATGCGTCATTGTATGAAGATTTAGTTGTAGTAACAAATGAAGGTGTAATGGGAGTTTTTGATGCGGATGCTTTTGCAGCAGCAGCATCCTTTTTCAGCTTATCTTTAGCAGCCATTTCTTCAAGAACACGACTAGTAGTACCAGTGGCATTAATCTTGTATGAAACCTGGGCTTTTTTCTTTTCAGCAGCCTCGTCTAACACTGAGATGTTGTTTTTTAGATAATGGAAATCAGTAATGTTTCGCTCTGAAACATGATGGGGATCTTGCAGCGTGATGATGTCTTTCCTTGTAAATTTTTCGCCCGTAATCAGATCAGACCAGTTTTTTGTCTTGATGTTCAACTGATCTACAGCTTCATACGCATACACGTTTCCAGATGTTTTGATTGCGACAATGTGAGTATGATTGTTGAAAGTTTTATATGTGACGGGACATTGATACTCGTTTTCGTTATTTTTATGAAAATGGAGTTTGAAAAGATCTTTAGCCTCGAGAGATTGGCCAGTAACTGGATTAGTTCCTTGTTTCTTGATCCACGGCACAATATTGAGAAGATCAAACACTATTCCTTCCTTGGTGCACATGGGATTTTCAAACGGCTGGAGTGACAATGCACAACAGTAAAAGGGAAGTTGTTTAAACTCTGAGCCCGATCCAGATGCCTTTTTTGCACCTCTAAATATGAGTAATACATGCATCAGCAATGTTAGTTGGCTTGAATGAATTTACAAACATATCCACGCAAAATGAGGATTAAATAAAGGTGAAAAATAAACAACCAGTTTCATGGAATGATGGGCCAGTTTACTGGATATAGTTGTGTAGTTTGGGGTTTCTTGTGGTGATTGGCATGTAAACAACAGTTGCATTCATGAGATGTTCACTTGAACTAGAACGCGAATGTATGTTTTTAGGATACAGATGGATTTGATTGACAGCATCAACTGCTGAATCCAACTCTAGACTACAATGGATGAATTTGATGATCAGACAATGTATGGCTATACCAAAATTGGGGAAGGGAATAATTATAGTTTGATTGTATTATATGATGGACGTTGATTTGAATTGAGAGTATCAAAAGTCGGTTTCTAGTAGAAGAACACAGCGGATATTAAGCATTGCCTATTTCAAAAACAAATAGTGACTGAAAGATGAATACAAGTGTTCCATTGTCATGAGTGACTTTAATTGATTGATAATGTCAAACTTGCCCGAATTCAGACTTCCATTCTGATTGAGAAATGTATAGTTTATCAGTGTTTCTACCCATATATTTAAATCAATTCAATGAGTTAAGCAGAGATTAAAAGGCAGTCCAGATGGTCACCAAGAATCGATATCACTTGAATGTAAATATCTGACAAGATTTCTTGATAGGAAAACAAGTGAAATTGTACAGCATACTACCACGTGAGTCCACGTTATATTTATTATTAGTTGCAGTGAATGTTGATGTGGTGAATATATTCGAGTCAGTATACAGCAATCATAGCATGAAGTTGATGTGTATTTACAAGTATATTTGAGTTTATGATTCGACTATCACCAAGGACACGTAGCGGGCAAGACTGGAGTAGAATGCGACGATTTGTCCATCACTTGACCCAATCGAGCGTTGGGACTGCTGGCATTCTGGCGCTCTTTGGATTTTTTAGACTTTTTTGTTCTAGTGGATTGATTGTCTTCCGAGTCGGAATGTTTGGAATGTTTGGATTTCTTTGACTGTTTTTTAACCTTTCGGGTCTTGGATTTATGCTTTCGTTTGCGAGAGTCATTATGAGAGTTTGTACTGGTCATCTCGTCACGCTCTGTATTTACAGTGCAATGATCAAGTGTGCTATCTAAGCTATCAGAGTCCTGACTAATACACCTTTTTCTCGGTGTGGCTTGTTTGAGTTTTTCAAGATTATCCACATACACATCTAACGATTCGTCGTCAAAGTTGTTGATATCAAGACCAGGCAAGTATTTATCTTGAAAGAATCGATCTAGACTGCGTGGTCCAGTTGCGCCTCGACCTCGAATCTTGCGACACTCTTTTACTGTTTCTTGACGAGACTCGGTGGAGATAGAGTTGCAGTCATCGTTGCTATAGGATTGGTTTGTAAGCAACTTTTTTTGAATAGGTTTAGATGGTGACAATGAAGAACGTGAACCATGCAGTTTGGTAGTTTGTGAAACTGGCTCGGATACATCTCCAGAATCCAGTCTGGCTAACCTTTTAGCAGCATCCCGTTGTTCTTGATGAGCGAGGTTTTCATTATGTGCGTCTGTACCACGAATGATATTTGCCAAAAAACGCTTGTTTGTAACCAACAAACTAATGATTTATATGATTAATCGCTTGTTATGCAATGAATTCAAAAAGTTGAAGGTTTACTAACCGATCTCTAGAAAGAAGAGCACTTGTACCAAAAGTTTCATACTGCTCGTGCTTCTTATTTGCCTCTTTCATAATCAAATCAGCAATATATTGTTCCATATTCTCGTCAGGCACATTTCTAATCTCCTGTCCATATGCCTAAGCAAAAAACATTCAAAGGCTTTAGTAAATTGCAGTCTAAATAACATGACATTTTAGAAAAATACATACGGCTCTAGTCAAATTTCGAACAACAGAATCCAATACAGATCCAGCAACAGGCTGACTCGCACTTTTGTCCATTATTCGATTAGTTTGATGAGAAGCAAACTTCAAGAAATATATTCATTGTCACATGACAAAACACGTGATGATGAATGCAGTTGAAAACAAGATTTCACTTCAAGACAAATAGTTTTGATGGCGACCTGTGAGCAGATGCAGTTGTTGATGGACAGTGATGGTCGGGCTAGTGCTGTTATAAGTAAAGAGAACAGCAATGAAATGTCTTTTATAAATCACTGTGATGACAGTGACAGTGAAACTGTATTTTTTGGAACTCCAAAGGCAAAAGAGTTGCAACTCAGACAGCAACACAATGACTGGACCGGACCTGCTACAGTCCGTAAACTTCCAACATGGAGTCAATCACCAGCTGCTGTTCCACAAGTAAATCTGTTTACTGATTTTTCTGCAAATCTATCTGTTCAAACTTCTATTTATTCTTCAGCCTTGAAAGTGGATAGTTTGACATCCACTCGGACAATCCTTCATTCAGCATCCATCAATGATTGTACCAATACTTCTATTTATAATTCATCAAGCCCAAGTCTGTTTTCCAAATCTACTAGAATTTCAAAATCTGGATTACCATTGACTGGTTTGGAATCTACAACTTCTACTCTGCTTGCACATAATCCACTATTTCAACATCTATGTATATCTTATTTGGATGAGGATGTGTATTTTTGCATTCCAGATTCACAGCCATTTTCTACTAATTCATCAACAGATCTTCCTTGGGAACCCACCTCTAAAAGCGATACTCCCAATAAGACTCCGCAATGGAAAACAGCACGCCAATTTAAAAGAAACTCGGACATTTATTCAACAGTAGAGACCAGCAATGAACAGCTACCAATCTTACCATTGATTTCAGATCTACCCACGACTCCAACAAAATTATGTTGCTGGAATGCGTCTACTCCATCCAAATCTTCTCAAACACCATCCACTGTTCTTTTTATAGCCACACAGCTACAACATAGCGCTGCATTACGAATTCAACGGTGGATACGTCATATTTTTGTCAAGAAATGTGTATTTCATTCCATTCGTCAGCTTTCTGCCCAGTACAGACTACAGCAATGGGTATATATGAGCTCTGTGATTACAATACAATATGCTTGGCGAAGGTGGATCCGATATAAGCAACTATTGCGAATGAAAAGTGCTACGATTATTCAAACTGCATGGCGCGAGATGCAGAGCAGACATCATCAGAAATTAAACGTTTTAAAGAATAAGGCTGCAACCAAAATTCAGTTGGCTTGGAAATGCTTTACTGCTCGCAACATTGCTAAAGCCCTTTTTTGTCAAAAAGTTATTCATAAACAGAATCTGGCGAGGTATAACTCTGTTTGTACTATTTCTCGATGGTGGTATCGAATTATGCGTGATAGAAAGCATCGTCAATATCATGCAACTGTGATAAAGTTGCAATCTCTAGTTCGACGGTTCCAGGCACGGAAACGTTTCATACAGATCAAAACATCTGCTAAGCAGATTCTTCAAGCATGGCGGTCATACAAACGTTTGAAGCGCAACGTACATATTCCTAATTCACCTGATGTACTAGCACAATCTTTGAATCATGACACAAGCCATCTTACTACATTTAATGCGCTGCCGCCAGTCATTCCTATACTCTTTGAATCTTTGACTGCCTTGCCAATATCTACGTTCAAGAAGTCATCCTTGAACGTACCCACTACTCTGCAAAGCGTCGCGACTACACCTTCACAGTCTTTGATGGTAAAGTCCACATCAAGAGAAACGGATAAAAAGTATCAAGCTATTATTGAAGAGAAAAAAAAACAACTCGAAGAAATTCGTCAGAAAAAATTGAAGCTTAAGCGACAACTAAGTGGCGAGCTTACAATGTCCATGCCCAGCAACATATCCAATGCAACTACAGCTTCATTGATTCCTAATGCCATACCCTCGCTTAGTTTTGAGCCCTCTAGCTCTAACCGACTTGTACATCAACAACTGCATACATCTATACATCAATTAAATAATGGTTTGATTCAACCGGTTGATAACACGTTGCCCACTCACTTACATGGTTTTACTACCGCGTTGAAAACAGTTCAACAAAGTATTCACTCGATGAAAGCGCTTGATTTTGACCGACTTACAAGAGAGAATACTCGTCGTAATGCACTTTGTAGAAATCGGTATGTGGTCAAAGTCGTCAACAATTATGGGACTGCGCCACCTAGTCCAACAACGCAGTTGATGGATCGTATTAAACAGCGAAAACAATCCGGCGTAGCTCGAACGTTTACTCCTGATGATGGCGTTGTAGAAATTGAGCCGCCTAAAGTACGTCGAATCCAATGGGACCCAGCATTAATTGACATATGTGAATCGATAGAACCAGACAGCAATATTGATCTATATACTGATGTGGTTCAAGCTACTGCAGTAAAAGCTCAACCTGTTACATATGGGAGTATCAAACCACCCAACGTGGGTATGAAACGTAAACTTGCAGACTATCATTGCGAAACTACTTCTACGTGTGTTTCTTTACCTATTCGTATAGATTCCAATGGATTCAATCCTAGCTTGACGGGTCAACAACTATCCGATGAAGCGATACGGTCAAAACGAAGAAAATCGTGTTTGCGACCTGTTTTGTCCATGTCGGATACCACTGACATGATATCGTCTAAAAATACCGAATCTGTAGTGATTCAACGAATACGATATGTGCCTAGACCGGTTATTTCTAACCCTGCACGTGGTAGTAAGATACCACCCAAAGTCAAAAAAGCACAGCATGGATCACAAGCAAAAGCAAATTCCACTTTTAGAAACTCGAGTGGTACTGCATCTGGCTTACCGACATCTTCAACTGCAAAAGTTGGTATGAATAGCACTATAAAGAAATCTACGACACATGTTCACAAATAAAGTGTAGCTATTCAAGTAAACTGGAAAGCGTCGAGTTGATTCAAATATGATTTTATTTTAGTAGCTTTAAATACCAATCTGGAATCAGTAAAGGATGCGTTCAATCCTAATCAGAACAGTAGCCAGTAGATAAAAAAAGCTTGAGTTGGTTACAGATCTGAGCTTTGTGTACGTGCATGCATATCATACTGTGTCGTATTGGCGATTCCAGTCAGTGCATTTGGGGGACGAAAGTTGAATTTACGACCCTCTTGATAAATCTCCTCTAGTAATGTATCAAACCTTGCCTGTTCCTTTGCCTCGAGATATTTTTGATAAATGCGCAGTGCCTAACACAATCAATACAAACCCATTCAAAATGTATGGATTCATCACATGAGTCGAGGCATGTTTTAACCAGTACAACAAGATCATCAACTACTTACGCCTCGGGCATCTTCCACACTATCGTGAGAGCTTGAGTGAATATCTTCCTTGAAAAAAAACCATACAAGGAACCGCAGTGACAACTTTCTGTTTGTAGATCAGCAATACAACCCAACATCATATATTAGGACAATGCAAGCAAAATAGTTTCAACATCACAGATACCACTTTAAAAGGCAGTAGTACAATTGGTCGATTACATACCGGCTGTATTGCTTCAAGTAATAAATATCAACCGTGTCAATAATTTGATGAGGCGGAATCAAGATATCTACAAATAGTCAAATTGTTAGAGTGAATGGTATCAAATGATTTCAAGAGTTGACTACAGTCATTCAATACTAGTCAAAGCAGTTTAAAGTAAATATGACATACTGATTGTGCGACAATCTTTTTTGAGTCCGTGGCCAACGAATATGCATCCAATGTCAACTAGCAAGCGTAGTTTTTTGTACGCAATCTGCACGTAAAATGATGATGGGCAGCCGTTAAACTCGACTGAATGGAATGTGTAGTTGTCAACATAAATTCGACTTACTTTGAGAGATACAATCGGAAGTTTAGAGGTTCGAACATCCAAATCACTGGCTAATTCACCCATCGACATCAGAAAATAAGCACAACGTATAGTATTTCCAATTTTTGATCGTCATGCATATACTCTTACCAATAATTCCAGAAAACTCGGTCAGGTAATTGACAACAGGCTGCGATATGAAAATGTAATCGTCGATAAATGGCACACCCATTCGAGGCTCTATTCCACGAATTACACTGACTCGAGCAAGACCTGATTCAGCAGGACGAATAATCGATTTTGATCCATCACTTTTAATCTCCATCTCTGCCTAAATTATCAATTGGTTGAAGTGAAACACCACGAGTCAACAAAACAGCACATGAATAGATTTAAAGTCAACACTCAAGACGCTTACTTCCGTCATGACAACAAACTCGGCATCAATCGCACAAATGTATTCCGAGATACAAGGTATTTCCAACTCGGTAAGCAGCTCATAGTTGAAACAAACATCTTTTTGCTTGCTAACATGCATGTCAAAATTGCAAACATATCAACGTCTGTATAATCGACACACTTGTCTTGAAACTTTAAACAAAAATAATCAACTTACTTGATATTTTGATGCTTAATCAAAATAGAAAAATCAGGTTCGACAGGAGACAAAAAGAATTCATTTTTATCTGGGTGTGTCCGTCGAATATACTGTATGATTGCAGGCATCTAAATACCAACAAAAAATAAAAATTAGATTCGCAAAATAAATCGTATACTACAAAAAGTCTAAACAAAAAACATCACACTAATGGCTGAAATAACAATCAAACAAACCTTCCAATCTTCAAACCGACATTCTTCTCCATTAAAAATCTCTTGCACTAAAAAGTCATTAAATAGGTACCATTTGGGAGCGTCATAATCATCAGAAACTAAAGCATTAATCATAGCAAAAGGTGTTTATATATGTTATTGAAAAACAAATCCAAACAAAAATATGTTAATAACAACCGTCAAATGGTCAACAGTCAGTTTACCATTAATACATGCTACAAGATGAGTCGGCTCGTTTTCAAATTGAATTGCCGATACAACAGTCTAAAATTTGAATACAGTTGAAACATTTCAACAAGAATAATGTCAGATTGGCTACACTATTATTAATCCCCAATTCAAAACAGTACATGTAAACCTACTTTTAAATCGTAAATAGCAACATCAGAAGAGTTTAGATCAACATCAACGTCAACCCCGCTTTGATCAACTATCAAATAGCCGTCCGCATCACGTCGCAATACAAAACTGTATAGTCACATAAAAACGTTGATATAAATAAAATAAACGTTTGATGGCATTGAAAAGGCATTCAAACAATAGTATGCACCTTTTAAGAAGAAAGCACGATGATCCGTCTTGTGCTAACCACAATATCAAACTATATTAGATACGGAATTCTTTAAACATTTACAGTATGCAAGCAATTTTTTCAAATATACTTACTATCTCGACGCCAAAGTTCAGACTCTAGATCATTGGTAATATTGGCATTCAAATTCAAAAAATTGGGAAGTTTGGTAAGTTTACGAGACTGTTTTATATTCTGATACTTTTGACACTTGTCACACCAGGCACGAGTAGAAGACTCCTTGTTGATACTGGCATGTAAAAGCTCCAAAAAGTTTGCAGGTAGATTCTACATGTTTAGTTGGTTGGTATGGTCAGCACAAGTATCATGAAACAGCCTGATGATCATTATAAACAGATACATTACTTTGTGATCATAGTGTAAATCAATGACAAAAGGTACGCTATCACGATTATGATCATGGTTTCCATGACATTTGATCAAAGTCCAAAGTGGAATACCATAAATTGTTTTGATGTACTCATCGGGTGGATAATCAATTGCCTGTGAATGTTTTGTGGATTTGGCCCCCAGTTCTTGATGAAGCTGCTCCAGCAAAAATCGCATTGTGGTTTGGATGAGTTTATCATACTGCAAGGTTAATACGCTTTGCGGATCTGTATGTGAAACTTCAGCATCAACCAATCCCAGTGCACATGCTAAATGGTTATAAAGCGTATACGTGTTAAACAGATAGTCGATCATTACAGACGCAACCAATAATGTTGAGCAAAATACAATATTTAAGAGTTACATCAACCTACCTTCAGGAGTAGCGCCAAAGGCTCGTAAAAAATTGGACGCCTGACAGTTGGCACCTTTTGAATCTTCTAGCATACGAAACAAAAATCCAAGCTCGCAAGCCAAACACAAATCCTTCATACACGCAGTGCGGATATGTGACTTGACAAGTTCACATAGCGGACGATTAAAAAACAGTATTTGAAGAAGCGGATTGCAATACGAGTTTTGAATATGTGTTTCCAAACCACCGTAAACTGTATGATTGTAATACTCAAAATCAAAGTCTTCTACACCAAATTTGCTATACTTGATTTCAATCTTGTGCCAATGGTATTCAGAAATTTCAGATTCTTGTAAAGACGGATCATTGGTTTCTGGCGATTTGAGAGATGATTTGGCTGAATGACCTTCAGTTTTCTACAAGAGTCGAGTGATGAGCATACACGCACATTGACACAATTGTACACGTATAAACCGTCAAATTCGGATTTCATATACATATAAACAAGTTATATTATCAACCACTTACAAATTTTCGATGAAGCCTGTCACGTTGCTGCTGCGATCTAAACTTGGGACCACTTAAGCCCGGTGATGCACAGGTAGGTGTAGAAGCGCGGATTGACATGATCAAATTTTGATTGCGCTTTAATGGCATATCTTGCACATAACCAACAAAATCGCTCATTTTGACATTTTTCAGTACTTCTGGTGGAATACGAGGTTGAGGCCGACCCACATTGATCAAGAGGGAATTTGGCCAGGCAGAGAGAAGTTCAGAAGTATATCTTGGCATACCAACAGCAGAGAGTGGAGTATCATCTCCGATTTCAACAGTGGATTTGTCTACAAACATGCTTCTGTATTCGCTCTGTCGAGAATATGGATTGTATCTAATAGTCTCATGCGTAGAAAAAACAGCGCAGGAATTTGTTGTGTCGCCAACAGCAAATGCATCGCTATTTGACGATATATCCATAGAAGATATCATTCCAGGCATATCGGCTCTAATGAATGTTACACCGGTGTAGTTTGGCGATGTGATGTCGCAGATTTGAACCGCGCCAGTTTTAGATAGAATCAAAAGACGAGAAGGTTGTTTTGGATGGAATCGCACATGTTCTGGTCCTACAGAAAAGGGGATAGGAGAAAGAGCTCGCATTGTTCTGATATCGTACAATTTGATCAAGCGATCGGGCAACAAGGCGCCATTTCGAATGGAGTAACCACACGTAGCCATAGTATTGCCTATGATGTCCATGGATAAAATTCCACCAGCATGAGCTAAGATGGTATGTTCGATTTCCATTGTTCTGGGATCAAGAAATTGAACTCTTCCACTTTCAGTAGCATGTGCCATGAATTTCCCCTGTTTCATGGCAACAATGGGCTCGTCCAGCGAGATCTGATTTTTAAATTAAGATTACAAACCAAAGTGAAAAATCTGACCAACAAGAAATAAAAATACCTCGTTGACGATAGTTCCTCGATACATGTTGACTACAGAGAGCGTTGTTGGAGAGCCAACGACATGTAACTGAGAAGAAGTGTTTGTAAATGACATGCATCGAGCATCGGACATTCTAAGATAAATATTAAACAAGAATTAGATTTTAATAATAGAATGCAAGGTCAAAGACATACAATTTGTTCCATCGTTGAATGCCGCATCTAGAAGTGAATCTGACATTTTTAGAAGACAGACTGATGACACCGCTATCGTGAATCAACAACTGAGAAGCAGGAACACCGTGATGAGCAGGAAACGAAGTGTATCTTGGAGAAGCATCACCAATGTTAAGGAATGAAGTGACCTGACCCTGCAAGCGAGGTAGAAGACCATGAGTGTTAGCCATCCAGTTTTATCCAGTTTTATCCAGTTTTATCCAGTTTTATCCAGTTGGATTGTTCTATTCATCCAGTTTTATTCATCATTCAACTACAACGTATTCTTACAGAAACATCACCAATCCAAACCAACTCTTCATAAGGATCAAAAGCAATACAAGACAAGCCAGGACTAGACCGAACTGCAATGGGAACATGCAGTCGGTGTCGCTCTTCCCAAGTCATACAAGACATGAGTTGATAATACGATGTGTCTTGTAGTAAAATCACACTTGAACCAATGGAACAAGTTGAAGTGTTTGATGGAAACAACGGATCGACTGATTCAACACTTGGATGGTTTTCATTCAATAATAGTTTATTAAACTGCTGCGTAGTGAGTTGCATCCACACTGTAAATGTCTGCTGTTGAATTCAGTTGTTGAATCGATTCTATTATTCTGAGTTTGGGCACTCGTTGGAATCGTTGTTGTTCTTGCAGTCGCAGCACTACAAAGTCTTGCGACACTCCTTTCATTCGACTTTTTGCTTGTCGACTTTCTTGTCGAATAATCTCCAAAATTTCTATTCCCAAGTTACCTTGGTGTGTAATCTTCTCATAAGTGTCGCTCTCTTCATCCCGTAATGCGAGTATGCCTTGTTCTACCATTCTCTTGAAACCATAGCTAAACTGTCTTGCAACCAGTTGCGTTTGCTTGTTCGCGTCCGTTGTTTTGTTCTTGAGACTTTGGATTGCTGCCAGACGAAGTTGTGCATCTTGACTGGTTTTCGAAAAATGAACTATCGCACTGTCTGGAAGTGCACCAATGTGGTCCTGTAATGCATCTACAAACTGTTTATTCTCATTAGTCACCTGTTTGACTGTCGAATCTTGAGCTGCATCCGTTCCGTATTTTGAAATAACTGCTTGCTTGATAGATTTGGGAACAACAAGTGGTTTGTCATACACATCTTGCTTGAGCGACATCACTGTCAACCATTCTGTTGTTTCGTAATTGGGATTCGTTTGGTGTGCTGCATTTAGACTGTTTAAACAAGTAGTCATAAACTAAAACAAGTCTTTAAACCGTGACTCACCTATAGAATGAATAGTAATATGTCGTTCATCTTCAAATGTAGATAATCGACCCATAATACAAACTAGATCTCCAAGATGTTGTGTATCATTTGTACTAGTATGAGAATTGTTCCATTCTATACATGATATGGATCCAGTTCCATCATCCACTGTATTTCTGTTTAGAATAATTTGATACCACACACAAGTGGATTACATTGTGACATACCAGAATACCGAATGTATTTACTTGATTGATGAACTGACATGATAATTCCAGATATTCGGACATTACGAATAGGATGTGTTTTGTAGAGATAAACAGCTGTTCAATCCCAACAGTACATGAATTACATTAAAAAGAATCATTCCAATACATACAAATCTCAACAGTCTTACTTGAATCTACTGCTGGATGAACTTGACATGTCCACAATATATCAAAAATGAACAGAGCAACATGTACAGCAAACAGAGAGTCAATCCCTAATAGCAGTTGCTGATGTTTCAATTCAAGATCAGATTGAACTTGCATTTGTAAATCCACTTGCTGCTTCATGTCTGAATTCAACAATTCAAGAATAAAAACAATTCAATGAATTCTTTACTGTTATTTTTGTTGAATTCAAATAATGGGCAAACGCAAGTCCAGCAAGAAACCGCAGGCAAAGATCAAGATGGTTTTGGACAAGGAGTTTTCATGTCTGTTCTGTAACCATGAAAAGACAGTCACTTGCAAGATGTAAGAACTCGGTCTGTTGTTTCCAACTCATTAAACTTGATTTAAAATTCATGTACAATCAACAGGGACATGGAGAACAAGATTGGTCAATTAACCTGCAGTGCTTGTGGAGTGTCGTTTCAATCCATGGTTACAAGTAATGTATTCAACCTTGATACTTGTCTTGAAACTAGAAACTAACAGAATCAATATCATTCAACAAGAACTCAGTGAACCTGTAGATGTATTCAGCGACTGGATTGACGCTTGTGAATTGGCAAATCAAGAAAAACACTCTTCCGCTCCATCTGCACGCTCTGCAAACAGATATGACGATAGTGTAGGCGAGGATGACGAGGATGACGACGATATTCGATAAATGCTTACAAAGAATGTACAGTCTTGTCTAGCAATCTGATTTTTGAATGAATTGTCAAAAATATTGCATAGTACTGTCTGTCCATTCACACCCATTCGAACTTGATATAAAAAGCACTATACTCTTGACAATTGGTTTATTGATTCTGTCGACGATCCAACTGCTGTTGCTTGAATCGTGACAGTTTGGGTTTCTACATTCAAAATCAAAATATGAGTTGCAGAAAAACTACATATAACCAATGATTTGCTTCAAAATATCATTTTACCTGAATAGATGGCGGTATACTGGCTGGCATGGGCAATACAATAGACGAATCGGATTTTCTTCCACTAGATTCCGATACATGCAAAGGTACTACAGATCCACTCGGTAGTTTTCCTGAATGAGAAATACTTGGCGGTAACCCAGATGGAACTACTATTTTGGCATCAGATTCAGGATCGCTTGGCTCATAGTGTCCCATTTCCTCGTCATTTGGATCAATTGGCTTTTGGAGAATATCAGCTTTGAGAAATTGATTGCGCTTGTGATGGTATTCAATAGAAACTTGCTGTCCAAGTACCATATTATCAAGATCGCTTTCATCATCACTATCTCCTTCAAAATCGTCACCAAAACCACGTTCAATCACACTAGTTTGAACAGGCTGTTGTCGATTTCTGTTTTTGGTCACAACTGCCTCGCTATTGTCCAATTCAGCACCGTCTGCCTCCTGTTTCTCCTCCATTTCCATCAGTTTAAGCTTTGCCAACAAATTCTTGTCAAAATCTTCAAGCTCATGCTCCTCGAGTCTATTGTCGTCATAATCAATTTCCTCGGCATCTGCATCTGCATCTGCAAATTGATTTTGCAAAAGTTTAGCAGACTGACGAGGTGGAGATTTTGTCGACGCATGAGTAGATTCTGCTGTTGGGTTACTGATTGGTTCTTGGTAAGGTTCTTGAATATCAACATATTTAAGACCTTCTTCGTTGACCTCATCATCGTCAAAATCAACTGTACTGGATTTGTGCTCCAGCACCATTTGAGACCTGACCTCCAATTCCTTGTAGACCGATTGACTGCGATCCAGTTGTTCAGCAACAACTAGCATTGGTCATATATGTTCAATGTATCAAATTAGATTTAGAATATAAGGAATCATTTCCTAGCAAGATTTTAAAAACCCACAGCTGCAGCGACGCTTGTGAATTCGCTTGGCTTGATGGAGACTGGTTTCGGCAAACCAATTAACTCCAAGTGATACTAGGACTTCCCCAGTGCAATAGATTTCGCCTGGCATATATGCAAGACATCCAGTTCCAATAGGAACCTAATCATTTACAAAATACATTGATGTCAACCAATATTGAATACAGTTGTAATATGCCATGTATTCAATACACTGATTCTAAACTATCAAGTAATCAATGGATTGGTCTCAGTCTACAACATCGTTTACCATGACTGGTTTGCGATAACTCTGACCTGCTAGGTCAAGGAATCGTCCAAGATCATCCAGTTCTTTTTTTCTCTTTCTCCATTCAGCAACTGTGTGATCCAACTGGCTTTGAGCCTATACCAACATGAATTCAAACAGTTTAATCATAGGAATAACATAAAACAGTATAAATACAATCAACACTTTCAAACTACTTGCAATCGAAATTTGATCTTTTTGGGAAGTAGTGTGCATTATGTTGTTATTCATTCTCTTGCAGTTGTATTCACTAAGAGTGTAATCAACTGTCAATAAACAGCCAATTCCCATCAAATTTATTAAAACTGTTTTTTGAATTCTGACTGTTTGATTTTAATAGATTATTATCTGAAATATGTATTTGATACAATCAATGTGATTGATTCTGTAACATGTCCTGGCAGAATGTAATGAATTCAGCATCTAGATCTACCTATTTCAGATTCACCTACAAATCGGTGTATTTTGCTTGATGGTGCACACAACCCATTGGTTGCTGTAGTTCGTGCAGACTAGGTCAACCATCAACAAAATGCAATAGCGTTACTTGCACATGTTTACTGGATTGTTGAATTTACTAATGGAATAGATATCCATAATTTACTTTCATGCCTTGTTCAACCCAAGATCGTGTTTGTCGTTCCATTTGCACAACCACTTGATATGCCTTGGATTCATTCAGAAAATGCTCGTATTATTGCACATGTGGCCGATACACTGATTCAAGGCGATACGCCATCACAATGCTTTGACAGTTTTGCAAATGCGTGGAACGTTATCACATCTAATAACACCGATTGCATTGTTGCTATTTGTGGTTCACTTGATTTGGTATCTGAAGTGTATCGCACTCTACACATGACGTTTTAGAGTCTACTTGAATTTGTGTTTGATGCACCATATTTGTAATAAATACATTTGCATTGGTTGATGGCTTGCATGCATACTATCGTGTATTTTGAGATGCTCTAATGCATTGAATTGACTAACCATCTAGATGCAACCCAACATGAATGTGCGGAAAATATCACATCAATGTACTAAACTACTCTAAACAATACACTATAATCAAAGTAAATTTGAAATCTACACATTCATCAACACAATCCAATAGACATACATATACAACAAGATTGAACCACAAACAGTCTAAAGTTGTGAAAACACGACGGTAGAATCAACAAAATGGAAACTAAACACCATGTGGCAAATGAGTGTTTAAACCAAGCTTTTTTAAATTCAAAGTGATTTTATAAAACAATTTAATGGTTTTGTTTAAAAGTTTATTTAAAAGGCATTTAAAAGATATTAGGATAGGGTATTTTTAAAAGGGTATTTAAAAGGTATTAGTGGGGTATTTTTAACAAGTTATTTAAAGGGTATTTAAGAGGTACTAATGGGTATTTTTAAAAGTTATTAACTGGGTATCAGTTGGGTATAGTGGGTATTTAAAAGGTATTAACTGGGTATCAGTTGGGTATAGTGGAAGGGTAGATAGTGGTGGAGGTGGAGATGGAATTGAAGCTTCCTTCCAAAAGCTTCAAGTCCAAAGTTTAGATCATCCATCTCCGCTTTGGATTTCGCGGAGGATGGGGTTGATCTGCGTCAACCTCGCAGTTGATCTTCCGTTTTTTGGAAGATCGCTCCTTGATACAAGTATCAATGACAGGAGTACTGCTCGTGTTGCGCCGCCGCGCCGCTCGCAGGTCTCGCTGTTGGTTAAGTAACTCCAACTTTGCAACGTCTTGCAAGGTTGATGCTACTTTAGCAGACCAAGTATTTTTTGGTTTGGTCTGCTTGACCAACTTGGAGACCTGCTCCGGCTTGACCCGCTTGACAGACCCACGAGCCTTTTTCAGCTCGGTCTGCTTTGCAAGTTTGGGCATCTAAGTGTGAAAATGGTAAAGTTTAAATGTAAGTCATTGCTGTTAATAATGACATACAAATGCGTCAACTTACTTTTTTTCCAGCCTTGGACTTGGACTTGGCGCTTGGCTGCTCCACTCCTGCCAGTGTGTCCTTTACCGGATCACACGCATTTGTAGTCTGGTAAAATAAAAAGGATGAGTACAAACATCTATACAATTACTAACCGTTTCAAACATTTCAAGCACTATTACACTTACATTTAGTGGTTTGGATGGAGCGTCATCCAGAGCGAATCGGACCGTCTTTTTTGGTCGCTCATCCAAAAAAGACTCGGAACTGCCAGCATTCTGGGATCCTTGCTGTTGCTGCATATGATATCCATCTTCATATGCAGCAATCAGACTCTCCAGGATCTTTCCAAACCCAGCCCCGGTTTGGGAAAGATGCTGAAGAGTCTCAGCAAGGCGTGGAACTTTGACAGTATCCACCAGAATGCGCACTCCTGGCATGAGGTCAACCTCAATACCTGGGAATGTAGGTGCTAATGTAATATAAAGTAAACAATTGATTTAGTAAATCACATACATTGATATACCGCTGACATTTAAAACTATATATTACGCGTACCTGGCAGATCCTCGACACCCACGGGGATGTCGGTGTCATCCATGTACACGTCAAAATCCATGGGATTTTCGACGTCCATGGGAATCCCGGAGCAATTCGCAACCGGTTCGGTTATGTCCACCGAGACATCCGACCGGTTGCATTGCTCCATCGAGTCAACCATGTCCACCGAGTTATTCGACAACAATATGTTGCATAACTGGCGACCTATGGGTAACTCGCGCAGGAACCCTTGCTTTCGGTAAACTTCCCGGAAGCTGATAGAATCCCTCAGTGATGACATGGGCTGCCACATTCTCAATCTATCAGCTTCACCGGGAAGCTTACTGCTTGTGTACATCATCTGGTCAGCCTGTCAAATATAAATGGTTGACACATACCAATAAATAAAACATTAGTCAACCATAACTATACAGTTGTATCAATCCAGCACAGCTTGTGTAATTTCAAAGCTAAACCCAAGATTTATACTAATACAACCAACTTACTTTATACCGAGTTTCAAAAGGCGGTTTGTCACACGCCAAAACCCGTTTAGCATAGCTGTATGACAGCATATATGCTTGAGCATCGGTATAATGCTCAACGGGTCCTGATGAATGGCCAGTCACTGCTGAATCTGGTGCAATGGACTCTGCAGTATATATGGTTGATACTGTAGAGTCACATTGCTTTCCAGACTGCAGTATCATAGCTGCCTCAATCAGGGACGAGACTATAATGTAAATATTTTAAAACAATCAATCCATCAGTCAATATAATCAGTATAGTTACCATCAACACACTACAGCCTAAACAATCCACAATACATGCATTCACACCCAAAACTCGTGAGAAATTGATACAAAAATCACACACTTACTTGGTGAAGTAGGGATTCTTGGATCATTGATTGCACTGATTGGACTGATTGGGCTGGATGTATACATATCAGTATATATGTTTTCCTGATTTGAACTAGTCAATCACAACATTACAAAATTATTCACAAACAACAGTAAAAGTTTAAAGTAGCATTCAACCCATTGTCCCATAAATCAAATTAGGCATCAACCAATTCAATCCCAAATAATAATCAACCAGCACATCATACCAGCCAACACAAATCACAATTGATACACATTGAATGACGTTCAATGACATTAGATAGCATCAAAAACAGTCAAAATCATTACCATCAAAGTCGCGTAGTCGAATCAACAAAATTAAATTCGGCAACGTTTCGAGTCCATCCCAAAATACCGTAAATGCAATCATCAAATCGTAAATAATACACATGCAAGTAAACAGTCATGTTAGCAATGTGCTGTGTAACCAAAATACAATATTCAGATGCACAACTATAATACAAATACTGTACTGCATACCTTTCTGGATTCATGCTTGCTTCGGCAAGGTGTGGTGCATTTTCACAAGTATTGGTTGGTTGGGGAATAGTGTTTTGCACACTACGGCGAGGCTGTCTTGGAGAACCAGCCGATAAGATGTTGAGACGGGACCACAGTGAATTCATTATTGGTATTTGTAGGGTGTCAGGAAATGAAGATGGAAAACGAGTTGATCTCGAAACTTGATAACAATAATATGGGTAGCAGTTGTAATAGTTGCAATAGTTGCTGCAAACTAATACGTTCAAACAAGTAGTGTGTATGACTGTTTAACAAAATACACAAGGGAAGCAATCAGATCTGAGATTTGGATCAATAGGTAGATGGACAAGCGAGTTTTGGATCAATAGGTAGATAGGCAAGTAAGATCTTGATCAACAACTAATAATGGTGTCGGATCTGGACAAACGATGCACTATTTAACTGAAACAATTGACATGCGAATCCCCGACAAGCCAAACTCTCAGCACGTAATAATCAAATACATTGCAAAAACGTCCCGTAATAATCAAACTATCATCAATTAATTCGTTATTTTACCTTGAATCCCAGACTCCGCACGCATCGACCTCGTGGAATCGAGTAACACAAACTAGCTGCATTAATGCATCAACACATAATACTTTGAGTTGATTGGACCATATCATCATCATCCCTCCGACTCTGACGGATCGGGGATCTATGTGCCAGCTTGAAGTGTGTGGGGTGGCTGGGTAGTGCGGTGAACGTTCCCAATAGTCAATCCATGTACGATGGACAATGCGTAATGCTGTGCTGCTGACAACTCCTGCAGCGGTCATGGCTGATGATATTAGATTCGTTTGTACTGCAGTTGATAATGCACAACCATCTCATACAACTATGCCAACCGTATGCTGTAATGTGGTCATGTATTGTATCTGTCTGACTGTCTGACTGTATATGTGATAGGCAGATCTACTCGATTGAATAGTGACCAAGATCCACTCGATTGAATAGTAACCAAACGCACTGCATGTTCATACTTGTAGACGTCTAGTACGACTGTAGTGGTTGATGGTTGTGTATGACTGTAGTGACGAGTCTGTTCACACGATTATTGCATGATACTCCAACTGCATCGAATACAAACTGCTCAAGTAGTCTTGAACGCAGTGACACCCGGTTCAGCTAGTTTACATGAGCAAGTATATCCACACATCTTCCGTATAATCTGTGCAACACATTGATGGTATACACAGATCCAGTCAGTCAATCTACACAAATCTGCACATTTTTACGCGTCTGAACTGCAACTCTTCACTACTACCTAAAATACATTGGTAATGCATACCAGACAAACAAGGTTTCATGCATTGCTAAAATCAAAATAGTACTACTGGATCTAATCAATACACTAGGTTAGTAAATACAACCCACGTAAATGTCTGTTTGGTATTCATTGCATGGATCAAATATACTGAAAATACAAATGTCTGTTATTCTGTTTGACTGGAAAATCAAGCACGCTAATATCAAAGTACTCTCTTCATCTGATATACCCATAACATATATGTCATCAACTCAACACTGGTGATATTATGACATTGGTAGAAACCTGTCCTTTCAACTTACTGCTGATGGATTATCAAATCATTGAATTTTGAACAAATCGTTGGATTTGGTTCAATAGCAAGTCATAGTATACGAACAACCGATGTGTGCATTGTCGACAGTTGAATTGGATATGGAAACGGACCTAGTCACTGTTTTTCTGATAGCTTTGAAAGGCTGGCAACATCAACACTCACCACTGACCAACCTCATGTGCTCCAACTCACTATAAAATGTAGATCTACATATCAAAGAGTATAGTCGACCATGCTTCATTCCAAATACACAACAGTTCAAAGTAGTCCGTCATGCTTCATTCCAAATACACAACAGTTCAAAGTAGTTTGATGATAGCCAAGTAAAATACAACCCCATATGAACAAGACAGCTTTGTTGGACAGTTACCATTGCCAAGATGATGCAAGACCATAATATTGCCATTTACATTTCTTTAGCCACAACTTGCTGAATTTGGCAACTCGTGCAACCCGCGCAATTTCAAAATCAGATCATTGGATTAAATTGGATTCAACCCAGTATTGGCTTGTTGGGTAGGCTGTTGGATCATTAAAATGTAACTTGACAGTTTCAGAATTCAGTATTGGCCAATTCATACAAATCTGCTCATCATTTACCCAACAAGTCGATACTAATGATTTTAGATTCATCATGGTCGCAGGCTATTCATAATGCATTAGCGTGAAGTTCCATAAATTGATTTCAAAGCTAGTTTAAATGCATCAACCCATTTTAAACATTAATCAATGTCATTTCAAACATATCCTAAAATGAATGGTGCGGATGCAGAGCCATGCCACAGTTGAATGTGCTCCTACCATACCATTTCCTGTAAAACAAGTGTCTGTGTATAGACATGATCAGTGGCCATGTATTACACCCATTCCAGCATCAACTATTGAGTCATTGACACCATTGACACGATTATCTAGCACCACATCATTGTAAACATATTGTGCAGTACCTAGTCGTACACATGGAACATCAAATGCAATCCCAGTTCACTCTGACATACTCGTATTCAAAGTTGGCAGCAAACAAGTCATTATATACATACTGTCAAACAGCAAATGCCTTGGTTTGGATCGTCGAGGGCACTACATTATCGCGACATCAGTGACATCAGTGACACCAGTGACTTGAACCAGATCTCATTCAGCGCGTCGATGGATGCATTTGGTATTGATGGTATGGAGGTGTTTGAATCTGGCGATGATTTAACAACTCAACCCATACATTATTCGTTGCGCTAATGTTATGACGTATCCAGCTAGGACATGCATAGTGTGTCAAACGAGATCAATGTTCCGTATGGGGATCCGAGTCAACGTTTTTCACCCATGACCAGTTCAAAGATCTGGATGTTTCAACATACACTAACATGGAGTGTCGAGTTTGGACAATATGTAGACTCAAGTACGATCGGAGCTGCGTTGACGTGACAAGGTAGACAATCTGATGAATGATGGAATGTATAATATCGAGGTTTCACAAATCCAAAATTGGAGAGATGGTGAAACACGTCTGATTGTATCACTCGGATGCCATGTTTAGTATTCAACATGAGATTTTGACTAAACTGCGCTCAGATGTAGCACGTTCAAACCAGCACTTGCATTCAGCACAACAATTCAATATTATGCAACGTATTCAACACAGATCGGTATGATCAAGAGCATGTCAGTGATGAATGAGTGAATGCTAGTGATGAATGCCAACGTGTATCAACTTACAACCATGATGTGGCATCACAATAACTCGACAGTGCGTATCCCAGACACTACTGGACAAAATGCATTGAAAACACCCCAAATATTGCAATCTACCTACACAGCGTTGGTGGATTATCTGTCACTGAATTTGGAGCATAAACTGGCAACTATACATGCAAATATGCATAGACTCTGATAGTCCTGCAACCAAGTTCCAGATGCCAATTCAAATATGTACTTGGATAGTCAGGGGTTGTAACACGATCATTTATTCAAATCGCATATATACACACATGTTATTGTTGAATGGCAGCAATATATAATGTCTCACAATAACGGGATATTGCTGGCATTGGATACCGTACCACAGTCGCTGTCTCGTGTGGTCAAACCGTGTGTAAGCTCCATGTATATATCATCACATAGATTGAATACAAACCATGATAATCTGGAATTACAAACTGTTTCACTCAACTCGATCCGACTCGGGTTGACTCGGATTGACTCGAACTCAAAAGCCATTTGATTATTGCATGACATTAAATCAATTGCAATGGAGGCTGCAACGTATGGATCAGTCACGTCACCAACAGAAACATCAAAAGCAAATCAAATGGCCAAACAATGATACAATATATACAGATATTCATAATGTGAATAAGCAAACATCGTGTAGTAACAAATTATGGACTGAATATATATAGTAACAAAACTGGTTATTTATGCAATAAAATATATCATTGATCATATTATAGTCGATATGGTGTATGTCGTTTTACATCATATAGCTTTTACACTAATGGTAATGGTTGTCACAATGGTGTCAACACTATGCTTGAAACACTAGAACTCTCAATTCCAACAGTATTGTGCTGCCTGACTGCATCTATGGTGTCAATCAATGTCAATCAGTAATGCATTTGTATTGATCATGGCTTGTGTGCAGTGATCTGGCAATATCGTGATGTATGGTATCATGATCAATGTAAACCATTACTTGATCAAACACGGCAATTGTGACTGATTACAATCTATAATTGGATGTGGAATACAATCACAATCACAATTGACAGGATATTGGGTGACTTTGTGTACAATAGCCATTATTGGTAGTTCAATCAGGATATTCCAACAAGAACAACCAATTGTTGCATAGTTGTCAATATGTGCATAGACTGTATTTGAATTTGTATGATAGCAAGTCATTGAATAACCTGATTTATATACAGATTGACCAATAAAGGACAAATGGGATCAATTTAAACTGCACAAAATATGACCAATCAAACAATCAGCCAAATATTTGGTATACAGTGACAATATATGTTGTAGTAATGGATTGTATATGTGATGATAACTATCCATAATCAAGGTGACACTATCTGATTACTGGATACATGACCGCAGTTGAAAAGATCATTCCAGAATATTACCGAGGTTGATTATACACCAACAGCGATGTTTGTTATTGATCGACTATATGGTGTATTTGGCGTTTTCTGAATATCCATTTGAAAGTGCTGATTGTCACCCTTGAAGCTGCCGTTGTTATAAAATAACAGTCATGTATCAGATTCAACCCATTTTCATCAAACTGATCGATGCAATGCATTGCAACATTGACAAGATATGCGATCGTGTGTTTGATTATTTTGTGATCCAAGAATGTCAATATTCAATGACTTACAATTCTGATTGTGGTGGAATGATTGACTCTACATGTTGAACCCTTTCCATTGTCCTGGTGTTTGGAATGACGATCGGTCATCATGTGTTGTCGTTTAATCCAGACTATTGGCTGGTTATTACTTTGAACATGTCAGAATTGACAAATGTTACACTGGTAGCATCTACTTTTGCCTGTAAAAATACAAATCACTTGTTGCGGAACATGTTTGGATCTTGGCAACTATGTCTGTTGTTGAATGGAGTGAATGCATTCATGCATCTGTCTTGCTATCGTCAGTATTTCCAAGTTTAGCATCAATTCAGTTTTGTGCAAACCCATCAATATACACAAATGGAGTTGTGTATGCAATGCAATGCAAGGATATTTATAATGACGACTGGATTCCTATGTTTTGGAACAAGTTCTATTTGCAATTACGAATCATGATGATAAAATTGATCATTGAGCTCATATTCAAGGTTCCGTGTTTGGTGTTGGTTGCATATGACTAATCAAAGTTATTTTTGATTTTGAAAATCCAATCTGTATATCAATCTCATCTTGAAACTTTATTGAAGGTTATTTCTAATTAAATTCAAAAAATCCCAAACACCGTTGCCAATTTTGTCAAAAAATTGAGGCGAGTTTTGACTATTGATGATTCTCATATCTTGAGCGTCAACGGGGTTCTTTTCAGCAGTATGAATAACCAGAGTCTGTTGCAATGAGTAGCCTGATTCGTGTAGTTCCGACAAAGTGCTAAGAAGGTAGGTTCGTTCTTCTTCAAACCCTTTCAACACTTCAAGTTTTTTCGACACTCCACCGCCATTACGTTTGCAATAAAAGCGTTCAGGATCTGTAGTATTGTAAGCGTTTGCAGCTTCTTGTTTTGACATTCTCTTGACAAATTTGATTTGGACAATGTATACAGTCTTTGTATTGGCACACTTGTAGATGATATCTGGCCCACACATATGATCGGGAAAGTATACTTGACTTGAATCACCAAATAGTAAATAGCTGGATGCAGAAGCTCGGGATGCCTTGATACTATTGGCAGCATCAGGACCAGAATGGTTGGCTACTAAAGCAAACGCAACCAAGTATTCCATCAAATAGCCAACCATTTGAGGGTTAAAAGAGGAGCCAATTCTTTGGTATAAACTTTGACA